GCCTCAAACTCCTGGGCTCCTCCTGCCTCAGCCTCCTGAGTAGCTGGGATTACAGGCGTGTGCCACCATGCCCAGCTAATTTTTTGTATTTTTAGTAGAGACGGGGTTTCACCACGTTGACCAGGAAGGTCTCGATCTCTTGACCTCGTGATCCACCGCCTCGGCCTCCCAAAGTGGTGTTTTGGAAATCTTTACCCAATCCAGTGGCATAATCTTAAATACCTGAGAATACCTCTCTGAACCTTTTCCATGGTCCTCTTGAAGATGAAGCATTTTCACTTGATTGCAAAAGCATTCAGAGAAGAATTATAAAACAATAATTGGTTGTGAATGACAAAAGACTTAAAAATAAACATGATTAAAGATCTGAGGAGAGTTCATTACAGTGTAATTAACAAGGAAATTTGGTTATTTCTGTGGTGTACAGCATTTTATAATAATAACTGTGCTTATGCCTGATAACACTTTATCAGGACATACTAACAGCGAAGATTGATAAATATTCAGGAACTTTATACAGTTTTTGAGACACATATTAATTACATACCTATACAAATATAAAAAAGGTTAAGCATCATGTTTTAGTTGGCAATGATTCTCATGTAATTTAGCATCTCAAATAAATCTAATCAGTGTAACATCTCTCCTTTTCAAGGTGAGAGAGCAAATCCTTTGAGATTTTCAAGCAGTGTTTTGTGGAATGTCAAAGTTGGTTCAAAGTGAAAAAGACTGGGGCCGGGCTGGCGCAGTGGCTCATGCCGTTAATCCCAACACTTTGGGAGGCTGAGGCAGGCAGATCGTTTTAGTTCAGGAGTTCAAGATCAGCCTGGATAACATAGTGAAACCCCATCTCTACCAAAAATGCAAATATTAGCCAGATGTGGTGGTGCATGTCTGTAGTTCCAGCTAGTCAGGAGCCTACACTGGGAGGATCACTTGAGTCTGGGCAGTGAAGGCTGAAGTGAGCCAAGATCGCACCACTGTACTCCAGCCTAGGTGACAGAATGAGACCTTGTCTCAACAAACAAACAAACAAAAAACAACAACAAAAACAAAAGTAAAAAAGACTACAGAATCAGGTTGGGCAGAGTGGCTCATGCCTGTGATCCCAGTTCTTTGGGAGGCCAGGGTGAGAGGATCTCTTGAGGCCAGGAGATCAAGAACAACCTGAGCAACACAGAGAGACCCCATCTCTACAAAAAACTTAGGAAAAAAAAAAAAAAAAAAGAAAAGCATATTGGAAAAGGCTTTAAAATTTGATTTGGGGAAGACTATCAAACATTTCAAAAGGTTTGAACCCTTGATAAAAAGAGGATAACAGGTAACTATGAAACAATACTTTGTTATCTATTTAACCAAAGGGAAAATTATTTTAAAGGTAAATGAAGAAGGTCACATAATTGCAAAAAACCAAACCCGAAACAAAACCTTAGGTTTTTCCATACTTCTTTTAAAAAGTAATTTAAAAAATGCTAAAGACAACATGAAGCATAAGAAGTTATTAAATATTTTTAAAGATTTGGGGTCTTGCTTTGTCACCCATGCTAGTGCGCAGTGCTGTGATCATAGCTCACTGCAGCCTCAAACTCCTGGGCTCCTCCTGCCTCAGCCTCCCAAGTAGCTGGAACTACAGTAGGAAATTATTTTTGATAAGTCACAGAATCTTTGCTTCCTAGGCAAAGTACTCAACAGATAAAGAAACCCTTTTACATTCTCTTATTAGTAACAAACCAACAATTCAAATTCCAGTTCTGCATCAGCACACTATTGATTAGAGTTTATTTTTAAACATTATAGGCCGGGCGCAGTGATTCACGCCTGTAATCCCAGCACTTTGGGAGGCCGAGACTGGCGGATCACGAGGTCAAGAGATCGAGACCATCCTGGACAACATGGTGAAACCCCGTTTCTAATTTTAAAAATACAAAAATTAGCTGGGCATGGTGGCGCGCACCTATAGTCCCAGCTAGTCAAGAGGCTGAGGCAGGAGAACTGCTTGAACCCGGGAGGCGGAGGTTGCAGTGAGCCGAGATCGTGCCATTGCACTCCAGGCCGAGGTCGTACCACTGCACTCCAGCCTGGTGCCTTGAGACAGAGCAACACACACACACACACACACACACACACACACACACACACACTGTAATAAATCCATTTAATTTTATTATTTAGTTTAATTTTTTTTTTTTAAAGATGAGGTCTAAGTCTGTTGTCCAGGTTGGAGTGCAGTGGCATGATCGTAGCTCACTGCAGCCTCAAACTCCTGGGCTCAAGTGATCCTCCTACCTTGGCCTCCCAAGTAGCTGGGACTAGAGGGACATGCCACCACGTCTGGCTAATTTACAGGGTCTCAGGTCTCTCTATATTGTGCAGGCTGGTCTCAAACTTCTGGTCTAAAGTGATCATCCTATCTTAACCTCCCAAAGTGCTGGGATCACAGGCCTGAGCCACAGCACCCAGTCCCATTTATTTTAGACATTTGACCGCACAAAATTCTCTCTCTCTCTTTTGACAACTTCCTATACCTGCCTAGGTTTTTGTCCTTTATTTTCCTCTTTCTCCCTCTGAAATAATCTTTAAATAACATTAAACTACTGTAGCACAAAATTACTCTTATTTTTCCTTAATAAAAATGCATCTTTCATACCTCATATTTTTCCTTGCCAAAACACATCTTCCTTTTTTTAAATTTTATTTTACTTTAAGTCCTGGGATTCATGTGCAGAACGTGCAGGTTTGTTACATAGGTATCCATGTGCCATGGTGGTTTGCTGCACCTATCAACCCATCATCTGGGTTTTAAGCCTCACATGCATCAGGTATTCGTCCTAATGCTCTCCCTCTCCTCCCCCTCCACAACCCCCAACAGGCCCTGGTGTGTGATGTTCCCTCCTTATGTCCAATACATCTTATTTTCTTTGCATACTTTTGCATGCAGACTTTTCTCCTTCACCCTTATTATTCCTAATAGTTCATTTACGTATATTGATTAGAGTTTTTAATAATTAATACCTTAATTTCCAGTGAAAACAAGGAAGTAGGCAATTGTGAACTATTATACATAGAAGCATTCTGCAGATTAGCACTTTTATGAATATACCCTTTCACAATTTCTAGAGCCACGTTTCCTCATAGTACACTTTTTCAGTGTGGCAAAAAGAATATGTTGGCTAGCAAACTCAAATATTTTTTAGTCTCTCTGTAAAAAGAAGCCGAATATAGATAAACTTAAGTAATTAACATTTCAGTATTATATCTTATTTAGAAATGATCAAATATTAAATGACTATACTCATTTAACTTAGCTTTCTATATCTTTGAGGTTTTAGGCTACCAAAAAGATTTTGGATACTGTATTTAAGCAGACATATTATAAAACATAACTGTTGTTGAAAGGTCAGCTATAGAGTTTGTCCCACTTACATCTATTTAATTTACTTGTTTCTAACAATTATGCTAGGATTATCAATGAAAATTTCACACAACATTAAATAAAGCAAGTCATCATTTAAAGTTTATTTTCTTGTTAATAAATTTGTGACAGACATGAGCGGTAGATACCAAAAATCACAGAAATAAAGAACCTAAAATTTAATTGTATTACTCTCTCTTTCCCTCTTAACTGCCATCTTTGATATACACCAAACAATTCATTTTTATTGTACATTTTATTCTTAGGTTGAATTATAATTTCATAATCTTAAATATCTAATAGAGATAACAGCTTATTTGGCTAGTAAATCAAAGTAGAATAAAATTGTATGTCTGCATTATATTGAATGCTGACAAATCTGGAGAAATACCTATTTGTATTTAACAATATTGAACTAGCTGTATTTACCAAAGATTATCCCAGAGCAAGTGAATTTGAAAGCAAATTTTGGATTAATTTCTACTTTTCTGAGAGTTTTAATAATACTTAATGTATATGAGCACTTTTTTTCCTAAGCCAGTTAATGCAGAGTTTTTTGATAAATTTTGGCAATACCATCCAGAGGTAGAAGACTATCAATATACAAAACACACATATAAACATATGTAAACACACAGACAGATGCCAGTAGAAATCTCATAGCTTTCATTTTAAACTTTTAACCATGAGCCAGGCATGATATTACAAAACTCACTAGTTTATGTAAAATAGTTGGATCCACTCTGTGTTCTTGGCAGATGGAACACAAGGTAACCTCCTAATTAAGGTAACCTCCTAAATAATGGCTATTACTTTTCACCAATATTTGTAGGGAAGATGATATGGTTTGGATCTGTGACTCCACCAAATCTCACGTTCAACTATTATCCCAAGTGTTGGAGACAGTGCCTGGTGGGAAGTGATGCCTCATAAATGGTTTAGCAGCATCCCCTCCATGCTGTTCTTGTGATAATAAGTGATTTATGAGATCTGGCTGTTTTAAAAGTGTGTAGCACACATCCCCCCCACCCCATCTTCCTCCTGCTCTGACCATGTAAGGCTTACCTGCTCCCCTTCACCTTCTGCCATGATTGTAAGCTTCCTGAGAGGCCTCCCAGAAGCAGAAACAGCTACGCTTCCTGGACAGCCTGCAGAACCACAAGCCAATTAAATCTTTTTTCTTTATAAATTACCCAGTCTTGAATATTTCTTTATAGCAATGTTAGAATGAAATAATACAGAAGACTTTTAAGATTTTTGTATATTTTGCTTCCAAATAGTTCTTAATTTTTAATTTGCCTTTCCTGCAGTCTGATTTTCCTATTGGTACCAGTAAGACATTTGTTTTAGGGTGCGAGCTCTCTTAGAAAAAATCCTTTTGGGGCCGGGCACGGTGGCTCACGCCTGTAATCCTAGCACTTTGGGAGGCTGAGGTGGGTGGATCACCTGAGGTCAGCAGTTTAAGACCATCCTGGCCATCATGGTGAAATCCCATCTTAAAAAAAAAAGAAAAAGTCCTTTTGGATATAAAGTCCATGTTTTCAAAGGTATACCTAGTCCAGTGTGACTCTAAACCAACCAGCCTTTTTATGGCTTAACCATAGACACAAGAGACATCCCCAAAGAGGGTTCAAAGGAGAAAGTACCCATTCCTTACTCCCAAAGATAGCCTGAAAAGCAAAGAAATTCATTGTCACTGTCAATATGGAAACTACAGTCTCCCATAAAATTGAGGTGCCTTCAATCACAGACTCACTAATCTGTGATATCAGGTAGGTAATACTGGGATGGTACATTTCCCAGCACAAACAAGGCAATAAAGAGTGACAATAAAGGCCCCTGATGGACTGGGGCCCCTTGTTAAGGCAAACTCGCCTGACAGCTACAAGATTGGCCAAACAAAATGCTGCTTGTTCATTTCATGCTTTGGTTTTCCTAACCTACTAGCTAGCCACCCAATGCAGGTATGACAACCTTGCCCTCTCAGCTGGCAGGGACCAGACTGGTTACCAGAGACCATAGTAGTTACAAAGCTAAACCCTCAAAACAGAAAATGAGACAAAAGAAGAATCTCATCCAGTTTTTTTTTCCATTGGTTATCCACAGCAAACTTTGTCTAAATGGATGCTGCTCTAGCATAAACTGTAAACTCATCAGTCTGTGAAGCTGGCTTAAACAACAGGCTTACAGGGCCTATGCCTATAACTGACAGCTCTCCGAAAGTATGACTCTTTTCCTCATTAAAATAAATCACACAAAGACAGAAACAAAGGAAAACAATGACTCTTCTTAGGAAGCTAAAGATCAGTAACCAGTGAGTGCTCAAAACCACATTTACAAGTCACCATCCAAAGAACCAATTTTACCAATATTTTTCTCTTGCTAATGCAAATTTGGAAAGGAAAAGACCAAGAGAAGTCTGCCATCCTCCTTCAGCCAGACTCTACCTACAGAAATCCAGCCGCCTGACTTTAGCAAGAATTTTTGCCTTTTGCCGGCTTTGTTAGAGATCCTGGATCTCAACTTTAGCCTCCGGAGCAAGTGAGGTGTCCTTGCTTAGGGTTGTCAAAACACGTGGTGAGGAAGACTACTTCCCTCTTCTCTCCTAGGTTCAATGACTGCGGCCCTGGAGATTAAACTGACAAAAGACAGACTAACGAGAAAAACAGTTAAATTACATACCTCTGCATGGAAGTTTCACAAAGAACTGAGAAGACTCAAAGGCGGCCAGATGATTGAAGCTTCTGTACCATCTTAGGCTGAGCAGACAGAAAGGAATTCTGGGCTGCTGAGGGAAGGAGGAAAGTTCTGGGAAGGTGTGGGGATGAAATGTATAGGAAATAAGGGTTGTGTTGTTATGCAGATATGTCTCTCGGGTGATAAATACTGTTTCCAGGAGCAGCTCTCTTCCCTTACAAATGGAAATTTTCTTTATAAATGTAAATTTTCTATACAAAAGGGGAACTTTATAGTTCATGTTAGGTGATTAGGAGGAGGTAAAGAGCTTTTACTTGGTCTGCTGGTTCTCTATTGCCTTTAGCTCCAAATAACCTGTGTGCCAAAGTGACATATTTTGGGGTTGCATATTTTAGTATGCTTCATTTCAGGAAGAATTTTATTTTATTTTTTTTCTTGCGGAACTTTTTTTTCTCCCAGATAATTGTTTTTTAATTTTTAAATTATTATTCTCTTCTGTTGGTGAAGCTCTCCTTTGCAATTGTTTTTTGTTTACATTTTTTTGTTGTTGTGAATAATATCTCAGGCAATCTTGAGAAGCTGCCTCTTCTTCACATGTCTTTTTTTCCTCAAATAAATAAATCTGAACAAGACATCTTTTATAACTTCTAATTTAAAAATTTTTTTTAGATGGAGTCTCTAACTCCAGGCTGGAGTGCAGTGGCGTGATCTCGGCTCATTGCAAACTCTGCCTCCTGGGTTCAAGCAATTCTCCTGCCTCAGCCTCCCAAGTAGCTGGGATTACAGGTGCCTGCCACCCTGCCCAGCTAATTTTTTGTATTGTTAGTAGAGATGGGGTTTCATCATGTTGGCCAGGGTGGTCTCAACATCCTGACCTTGTGATTCGCCCACCTTGGCCTCCCAAAGTGCTGGGATTACAGGCGTGAGCCACCGTGCCCAGCCTATAATTTCTAATTTTTTCTCTGTTCGGTTTTTACTGTGAAATTTATTTTTCCAGTGTCCTTTCTGTCAACTGCTGCTTTTTCCCTGTATGGGAGGAGATCAATTCAGTGTCTGTTTTACCCTCTCTCTTCATCTTCCCTTAGCCCGTGCTTCTCTCATTTGTTCTTATTACACACGTAACCTCTCTCTTCCTTCCACTTCCTCCCGTTAACAATTACCTATTGAAGTCTCTTGAGTTCCAGTTAGTGAGCCTCTAAATTACCCTCTTATTAACGTCACCTTTGTCTTTTCCTGCTTTCAACATAGTTTCTTCAGGCTTTAACCTCACCACTTACGTTTCCTTTCCAAATCTCTTTTCCTTTGCTAAATAAACCTCACCATTTAAGTGAGAGAGCATGGTATGGCAAAAGGAATGTATGGAAACGACACCAACATACCCGTTGTATTAGAAAAAGTAGTATGGCTGGGCGAGTCACTTGGCTTCTTGGGACCTCACTTTCTTATCTAGAAAAATGAACAGGTTGGTTTAGCAAGGGCTTTAAACTCAAAAGCTTCCAACAGAGTCCAGACAGATTATGCAAATGAATTAGAAGAGGCCAGGCAGGGATTGTGGGAAACTGGGGACTGTTCGTGCAAAGGGCACGATCACTGCTCAGCTTTTCGTACTGCCACGGAGAAATGCTGGCTGTGTAGGATCCACAGATCTTCCAGTTGCCCAGCAGTAATCAGGAATCTGGATTTTTACAAAATGTGAACTGTTCTTTTTTTTTTTTTTTTTTCCTTCCAAGTCAAAGCTGTTTTATCATCATTCACATTATTTCATAGAAAAAGGAATGTAGCAAACGGGTCAGGGTTGCACAAACAAAACAAAACAAAACAAAACAAAACACACCCAGGTTTATAGAGGTTGCGTTATTTCCATCTGGGCACAGGGATCGTTCTTTACATCTGGGAACAGCCATCAGGCACAGCAGCTGCACTTGTCTGACGCCCCTTTGCAGATGCAGCCCTGGGCACGCTTGGCACAGCCCACAGGGCCGCAGGAGCAGCAGCTTTTCTTGCAGGAGGCGCATGTGCACCCTTTGCACTTGCAGGAGCTGGTGCGCAGGTGCAGGAGTCACGGGGCGCAGGAGCAGCTGGGATCCATGGCGAGCTGAAGAGGCGGC